TTAGCTTAGAATATCTCATCTTAGCTGAGCTTAGCTTAGCGTAACTTAGCTTAGCTCAGCTTTGCTTAGCTTCGCCTAGCCTAGCTTAGCTTAGCTTAACTTAGCCTATCTCATCTTAGCTTATCTTATCTTAGCTTAGCTTAGCTTGGCTTAGCTTAGCTTAGCCTCGCCTAGCTTCGCTTAGTTCTTAGCTTAGCTTAGCTTAGCATAACTTAGTTTCCCTTAGCTTAGCTTAGCTCAGCGCAACATAGCGCAGCGCAGCATTAGCACAGCATCGCATAGCATAGCATAGCCAAGCATAGCATAGCATAGCATAGCTCAGCATACCATCGTCTAGGATAGCATCGCATAGCGCAGCGCAGCACAGTATAGCATAGCATATCATAGCATTGCTTAGCATAGCACAGAGCAGCATAGCATAGCATAGCATAGCACAGCACAGCAAAGCATGGCATAACATAGCATGGCATATCATAGCACAGCGCAGCATAGCATAGCATAGCATAGCACAGCGCAGCATAGCATGTCATAGCATAGCCTAGCATAGCATGGCATAGCAATGCAAAAGCAGAACCAAAAGCAAAGGCAAAGGCAAAAGCAAAGGCAAAAGCAAAAGCAAAGGCAATGCAAAGCAAGAGCAAAACCAATGCGAAAGTGTAGATGTAGATGTATATGTAGGTGTAGGTGTAGATGTGGATGTAGGTGAATATGTAGATGTAGATGTAGATGTTTATGTAGGTGTAGATGTATGTAGATGTAGATGTGAGTCTCGCTGTTGATGTTGATGTAGATGTAGATGCAGGTGTAGATGTAAATGTAGCTGTCGGTGTAGATGTAGATGTTGCTTTTCTAAATGCTCCAACTCCTAGGTAGGGTCGCACTGGGATAATTTGATAATTAAGGTTCAACCGGGACTCTTGGAAGCCCCCCTGAGGCGATGCCGAAACGAGGGCCCCAGTCTTGAGTAAAAGGTGAGGAAGTATCAAGCGGGTGCAACGAGGGAGGACGGAAGGGGAAGGAAGGAGGGAGGAGGGAAGAGGGAGGCAGGAGGAGAGAGGAGACAAGGGGGACGAAAAGGGAAAGGAGGAGGGAGGAGGAGGGAGTGAGGGAGGGAGGAGGAGGAGGAAGAGGGGAAGGGACAGGGAGGAGGGAGGATATAGGGAGAGAGGAAGGGGTTGGGGGAGAAAGTATTCAGGGAGGAACGATGAGAGGGGGGAAAGAGGGAGGAGGTGGAGGAGGAGGAGAGGTGGAAAGAGGAGAAAGGAGGTGCGGGAGAAGGAAAAGGAGGAGGAGGAGGAGGAGGGAGAGGAAGGGATGAGGAGGAGGAGAGGAGAGGAGGAGAAGGGGGGAATTTAGGGAGGAGGTGGGAGGAAAAGAGGGGACGGAGGAGGGAGGAGGGAGGAGGGAGAAGGAGGGGGTGGAGGAAGAAAGAGGAAGAAGAGGCAGGGAGGAGGAGGGAGGAGGATGAGGATGAGGAGGAGGAGGAGGAGGAGGAGGAGGACGAGGACGAGGAGGAGGAGGAGAAAAGGGCGCCAGTCCAGAGTAAAACGGGAGGAAGTCTCGAGGGAGAGCGATGGTTTTGTCGGGACGGGGGCTGTCGGCGGCGAGCAAGAGCACCGCCTAGAGTAGAAAGGGAAGGAAGTCTCGCGGGGGAGCGTTGTTGTTGCTGGGGGGCGGCGGCGATGAAAGAAAGAGTAGCGCGCCTGTCCAAGGTAAAACGGGAGGAAGTCTCGAGCGGGAGCGCTGGTTTTGTTGAGACGGCTGCTTTCGGCGGCGAACAAGAGCACCGGCCCTGAGTAAAAAAGGAGGAAGTCTCGAGCGGGAGCGTTGTTGTTGTTGCTGTTGTTGTTGTTGTTGTTGGTAGTGGTGGTGGTGGTGGTGGTGCTGTTGTTGGTGGTGGTGGTGGTGTTGTTGTTGTTGTTGTTGTCGTTGTTGTTGTTGTTGTTGTTGTTGTTGTTGTAGTTGTTGTTGTTATTGTTGTTGCTGTTGTTGCTGTTGTTGTTGTTGTTGTTGCTGTTGTTGCTGTTGCTGTTGCTGTTGTTGCTGTTGTTGTTGCTGTTGTTGTTGTTGTTGTTGTTGTTGTTGGTGGTGGTGGTGTTGTTGTTGTTGTTGTTGTTGTTGTTGGGGGGCTGGTTTGGGCGGTCCCCCAAACCGCTTGAGGGTGAGCCTCATTTTCAATGAAAATGCAGCCGGCGCCTCCAGGGCGCCCGGAAGGGGTCCAACAATAATAGGTGTTTCGAAATTAACATTCAACAAAACGATCTGTCCTCGTCCTAGCCCCGCCCGGTTCACGGTGCTGGGCTGCCGCGGGCGGCCCCAGCCTTCCCACGTCCCCGCCACTTCGTCGGCGAGCACGGTGGCCGGGAGCGCCCGCCGCGGCGACGCGTGGCGCCGCGCCTGCGCCCGCGCGGAAGCGCCGCGCCCGCTGCTGGAGTGATGGGGAGGGCGAGCGGCGCTCCCAGCCCAAGCTTTGATGGGCAAATTCTCCGCCACCGCTACCGTATGCAGGACGGGGGAGGAGGGAGGATGAGGAGGTCCTCCTCCTCCTCCTCCTCCTCCTCCTCCTCCTCCTCCTCCTCCCCCCTCTCCTACTTATGGTAGTGGTGGTGGAAAATAAGCCTATCAAGCTTAGGAGGCAACTCCTGGGAGGTCCTCCTTGGAACGATGAAGGGCGATGGAGCCCGATCAGAGGGCCCCTTCACCGGACTAGGCCAGATTAAGCCCGGGATTAAGTCGGCGGGGCGAAACCGGATTAGCACAGATTTAGCCGTTTATCGATAGCGAAAATACCAGGGCCGATACAGACTTCCACCTCACAAAAGTTGCATTCCTAAGAAAGAATCCCCGGCTCTTAGCTCTCCACTCTGGAGCCCCACGTGGGCCTCCCCTGGGCCTCGTGGAGGGTGCTCTGAGGGCCCGCGGGGGGCCTCCTTGGAGGTCCTGGGGGACACCTTGGGCCAGGGGCACCTCACCCCATGCTGCTGCGGTTGCCGCCGCCGCCGCCGCTCTTGCCTCTCTGGGCCGAGAAGGAGAAGGAGAAAGAGAAGGAGACAGAGAAGGAGGAGGAGGAGGAGAAGAAGCAGAAGAAGAAGAGAAAAAAGAAGAAGACGAAGTGGAGGAAGAGGAGGAGGGAGAGGAGGAAGAAGAATCCCCGATTCGTTTTACGCCGCCAGTATGTGGCAGCGTAAAACGAGTCGGAAGCCTTGCGCCAGGGCTACGCGGGCATTCTGGCCAACGGCACTGTATCCCGGTCACTCCCCCTTCCACCCCCCCCCCCCCGCGGCAGAAGGTGCACGCGGAACAACCGAAGGCTTCTGAAGGGCCGTGTGGCAGAGCGAGAGAGCGCAGAGAGAAAGAGAGATACCTGTAAATGTATGTAAATGTATCTACATGTATATATATGCATATATAGATGCTCAGATACCGTCATTAACGCATACAACTATACATACATGAGCATGCATACATATGTATACTTCTAACGACATGCATGCATGCATGCATGCATGCATGTATGTATGTATGCATACATGTATGCATACATGCATAGACACGTGCATACGTGCATACGTGCATACATGCGTGCAAACATACATATGTATACATGCATATATACAGATACCTATATACATGCATGCATACAGACAGATATACATATATGCATGCATGTATACATGCACACACCTGTACATACATACATACATACATACGTACGTACGTACGTACGTACGTCCGTACATACATACGTACATACATACATACATGCATGCATGCGTGCATGCATGCATGCATGCATGCATACATACATACGTGCATGTGTACATACATACATGCATACATGCATACATACATACGTGCATGTTTGCATGCATGCATACAGACATACAGACATACAGACATGCAGGCATACAGACATACATACATACATACGTACGTACGTACATACATACATACATACATGCATGCATGCATGCATGCATGCATGCACACATATATACGTATGTACATACATGCATGCATGCATGCATGCATGCATGCATACATATATACATACATACATACATACATACGTACATACATACATACATACATACATACATACATACATACATACATACGTGCATGCATGCATACATACATACATACACACGCATACATACATACATGCATACATACATGCATACATAGATACATAGATTTATCTCTGTGTCCCCTTTCCCCGTCTCTCTCCTTTTTACTCCTCTCACCAGAGGTTTTGTGCTACAGGGGGGCCAGCGGAGACTCCCCCCATGTCCTCCGGGGACTCCGAAGCCTGGCCAGGGGCGGCAGCGCGACGCGAGTCCGACCCCTCGGAGTTGACCGGGAGCGGCAGCGCGACGCGAGTCCGAACCCCCTCGGGTGAGGGCGGCAGCGCTCGAAAAGAGTCCGAACCCCCCCCGGGGCCCCTTTCCCCGGCACTCCTGCTGGGATGGCGTCAGCACATCCTCAGATGGCTCGCAATCGGCACATCTTTTAGCCAACTCGGCTTGGGCAGGGTTACAGGGCGGGGCCGAGGCGGCTACGGAGAGGCGGTTTAGAGGAGATCGTTTCGAGGACGGAGGGGGGACGAGATAAAACCCATGAGAATCTCAAGGATATTTATCTCTGTGTCCCCTTTCCCCGTCTCTCTCCTTTTTACTCCTCTCACCAGAGGTTTTGTGCTACAGGGGGGCTGCCAGCGGAGACCCCCCCCATGTCCCCCGGGGACTCCGAAGCCTGGCCAGGGGCGGCAGCGCGACGCGAGTCCGACCCCTCGGAGTTGACCGGGAGCGGCAGCGCGACGCGAGTCCGAACCCCCTCGGGTGAGGGCGGCAGCGCTCGACGCGAGTCCGAACCCCCCCCGGGACCCCTTTCCATGCACCCCTTTCTGGTTAACCGCCATTAATCCCCAGGGACGGGTGGGAGGGTCAGGAAAACGCTGACAGCGAAGCTGCTCAGATATTTTGCTCCTTCTTTTCATCTCAACCCACATCAAAGTTAAGAGCACTCGCCAGTACACGAAATCGTTCCATTTCTGCAGGCAAGAAATCGTTCTGCAGCAAAGTTTGCACACCGTCACTGATGTACAGTCTGGCCACAGCTGTGTCTTGCCATCTCCCCACTATCAAAGTCAAGCCCATGTTCTCGAACCTTCTGTAATGAGTGGTGGCACCTCCACGGCGTAAAGAATATATCTGATAACCGTGCCGCTCGAGGTTCAATGACCTCAAGAGAGCTTTGAACACATCACGAAATTCGGGCACGGTGCCCTGCAGCAACGAGCTCTCAGGCGGCAAATGCTGAGTGAGCACTTTGATGAAGTGAACAATCCTGGCGTCGTGGAGTGTGACGGACTCCTCACAGTGTCGTCTCTTGCCTGCCTTGGTCACTGGCAGGGCTATGACAAGGCTGAGGCCGTCGTTGCTGAACTGCAGCTGCCACTTACGGAGAGTAAGAAGCTCCATTGTTCGCAAGAATACGGAGTAGCCAATCACAAGCAGCACCGCTATGTCATTTCGACTCCAGGATCGAGCCACCGTGGCAAGTGACATCAGCACATATTCTGGCATGGGTGGTGCTCTTTGTGGCATCTCAGTCCGTTGCCAAGCCTTCTGCAGGTTCCACGCACTGTGAAAGACTCTCTTGCGTCGCAAGAAAAACTGTACGCCAGACAAGGTGGCCCCAGCATCTCCAGCAGGCCTCCCATGCGCCCATAGCGTCTCTATCCATTCACATAATTGGAAGTCGAGCTGCTCCAGGTCAGTGGCCACGTCGATACCATGGGCACTAATCCAAGAGACAAAGCTTTGCACCATCTGACCATATCTGCGAAACGTACGAGGTTGAACTAGTGTGTGTGATAATCTGCCAATCGCGCGTCGCACCCGAATGCGGGACACCAAGTCTATCTCATAGTCAATGCGACGCTTCCTTGGCATTGCTGTCACCTGACATGCCGCCTTCCCTCGAAGGGTCGTCGGCTGGGTTCTTGTCGGTCTCGGTGTACCCGTAGATCGGTCTTGCCGACGCCGCCAGGACCAGAGCTGAGATCCTCTTGACGGCTGCGTTGAGCAGATGCGAGGAGGAGCGCCCCCGCGATATCACACCAAGTCCAACCTGCGAATCCATCAGATGAGCGAACCTCGTGCCAAGGTGATGGCCCACTCTGAAGCGCCAGCGAAGGCCTGCCAGTGTGCTCAGCACTTCCAGCGCCGTGATGTGGCTCTTCCACCTCCACTTCCAGACCAGCACTGTCTTCCACGTCCAGCGGCTCACGCTGATCGGGCGGCGTGGCCACAAGTCAGGGCGCATGACCTCCAGCGTGTCGAGGCGCACGTCCAAGCCCCTCACCTCAGCTCGCCGGATCAGCTCCTCCACGATCTGGATGCTCGGGTCCGCCTGCGCCTCGGCCTCTTCAAGGCCACGGTCCCTGATCACCACCCCGCTGTCGTCGCCCTCCTTGGCTACCTGCGCCAGGCCCTCGGCAGCGTCGAAGGCGCCTCCGACCGCCCGCGCCTCCGCCATCGTGGGGACCGAGTCCAGGTAGCCGTGTCGGTGAGCCCAGTGCGCCACTATCCATGCCACCACGCCGCACTGGAACGAGTTGCCCAGCAGGGCGCAACGTACCACCTCGAGCTCAGCCAGCTTGCGGAACCGCGTGGCCCGCGCTGTCGCCGTGTGCCCAGGTGGGAAGTCCATCAACATCTCTCTCTCAAAGGAATCCGCAGGCTCCAGCGCACCTCCTTGCCATCGCAGACAGTGAGGATCTCGAAACTGGTACGGCGCATCGCAGAAGTCGTGCCTCCGCCAACGCTCCAGCTCGGCCTCGCTGCACTGGTGCAGGCCCTTTGGCTTGTCGCCGGCACGCCCGCGCGGGATGCACCTCACGAAGGTGGGCAGACGCTGCTCAGGAACCTCGGCTCCTGACCACTCTCGCCCAGGGCGCAGCCAGCGGCCCAGCGGGCCTGGACCTCCAGGGATCGTCACTTTCACCACCTCACTTTTCACACAGACTTCGCCCTGCCACGGCGTCATGAGGTCGGTGTCACACCAGTAGAGCCTCTCTCGGCGAACGTGTGAGATGTCGGCGGCATCGATCATCACCGGGGCCAGCCCCATGTGCTCTGACATCGTGTCGCGATCCTCGGCCGTCATGGAGGACACATTCTCGATCAAGTCGAACACCTCGACCTCCACGGGGAACACCTCCTTCACCAGCGACTTCACCCGCTTGATCTCGTAGAAAAGGCCCGACCTCGCTCCTGACAGCCCTCGCCTGTCGACGCTCAGCCTGGTGAGGTCCACGCAGGGAGCTCCAGCAAACAGGAGGACCCAGCGCACATGAGGGGCCCTGTCTCGGATCTTGGCGATGTCCTGCGCGCTCAGCTTCGTGACGTCGCCCAGCTCCACCACGTCCGGCCACGTGTACTTCACCACGCGGCAGGCCTCTGGGTCCGTCTCCGACGCAGCATACACGGCCACGCTCAGCCCCAGCACGTCGAGGGCCCGTCTTCCACCTCCGATCCCGTCGAAGAGCGACAGCAGCACGCCCTCGTCCTGCAGCCGCCCACCTGGCGCCTGCGAGAAGCCTTGGCTGCCTCAACGCCGTGTGGGAGCAGGCGCACAGCCCGGCATACCGCCCCCTTGCGCATGCTGGCGTCGGACACGGTCACGAGCCCGCTCACGGGCGTCCTGAGGTCGCACCTCATGAGCGGCAGGAGCCCCACGGCCAGCAGCAGCTCCCTCTGAACGGGAGCGGGCAGCCTGCGCTCGCCTCTCCAGCGCACCACGGCACGCCACAGGTCGTCGAACACGGACATCGTCTCACGCCTGAACATCATCGCTCGCACCCAGCGGCCCGCCACCACCTGCAGCCAAGTCTGAGTCAGCACATTCCGATCCAGCGTGGCGAAGGTGAGGCCCAGCAGACGGTACACGAACTCCAGGGGCGGGCTGATCACGCCCCTCGTGCCGTCAATGAGCTCACCCAAAACTTGACTGACAGGCTCACGGCACACTGCCTTATCCTCGCTCCTGGGCACCCCCCGCTGCGCGTACCTCTCGCAAGCCAGCTGCACCACCTCGGGGGGGCCCTGTGCCTTCAGCGCCGCCGCGGAGACCTCGTCGGTAACCTCCAGCACGTCAAGGTTGTCGATGTACACCTGCCACACCACCCAGCAGGCCGTACCAGCACCCTCCGGTATGAGCGCGTCATCTCCTCTCGTCGCCTTCGGCACCGTCTCCGCCCACATCTTGACCAGCACGTCCCCGTGGCAGCGCTGCCCTCGCCTGCAGTGGCACAGGAGGCGACAGCCCGAGAGCTCGGGCAAGCAGGCCAGCAGATCGGGCGTGTCGCGCAGGTGGCTCTCGTAATTCGCGATGGCCTCGCTCCTCGGCATCATCTTTGACACCTTGAAGGGGTTCGCCCACTTGGATGGGGAGAAGCCATGCCGCTGCCCTGTGCGACCGATGTACACCTGTGGGCGCTCGTCGCTGTAGGATCGGCCCAGCTCGCCTCGCACCGGCAGCCTCGCCTCGCCCTGAGAGACCACCGAGCCTCTCTCACGATGTGGAGGCAGAGGAAGGTCGCGCCGCAATTCACGGTCCTCAGGCAGCGGAGGCACTCCCTCCAGCCACTCACGAAGCAGCCACCGGTGGATGTGCTGGATGATGCCTGTCGCCGACACCCAGCCCATTGGGATCACGGCCGCGGCCACGTGCACCTCGCCGGTCCCGTCAAGACCGAGGCAGGACCTGCTCACCTTCTTGGAGAGCGCCATGTATTTGTGCCACACCGCGGGCAACCGGTACACGTAGAAGCAGCACTTGAGGTCCTCCGACGAGCTCATCATCACCTCGCCGCTCCTCAGGATGATGCTCTTCCACTTGTCTGTCGTCGGGAGGAGACCCATGTCCCCCTGGACCGTCTCCTGCAACCAGTTGCTCGGGATGATGTTCATCACTAGCCGCTGCGGCCCCGAGCCTTTGACGTGTCCCGACTTTCGTACACCAAAGAGGCCGCCCAGCACGCGACGGCCCTTGACCTTCACGATCTCGTCGGCCTCGATCGGGACGAGGATGCCCCTGTTCACGAGCTCGGCCGCGATGAGCTCCCACTCGTCATCCTCGGCCCAGACGCGCGGGGTCTTGGGCATCTCGCCCAGCTCCGCGGGGCTCTTCATCACCCACTCCGGGTGCTCCAGCACGCTCCTGATCCAGCCTTCGCTCACCTCGGTCGCCAATACCGAGCCGCAAGCCTCCTTCGCCGGCAGGGCGAGCAAGAGGCGCTCGCGGTCTAGCTGCTCGGCTGGGTACACCTCCATGCCCGTGTAGCTCACTGCCGACGACTTCAGCTCCTGGGTCCAGTCGAGGTTCGCCACGGAGCCCTCGTACTGGCATAGGAACGTGCCCACACTCCTGGCCAGCAACCTCAGGGCCTTCAGCTGCACCGCGCTGGCGGGCCCGTGCCTTACCTTCCAGGGGGCCATCTTGAGACCAGGATGCTTGCCCCCCAGCGCGTACTGGAAGTTCAGGCTCAGGACAGTGAGCTTCAGCCAGCCGTTCAGGTCGTCCTCGAAGGAGGGATCGACTGGCTCCGATTCGCCGAACACCACGCCGTTCATGCTCAACTCCTCGATCGTCAGATCGACGCAGGGCAACGGCAGCAGGTCACGCCGTCCGTTCCCTGCGGTCAGTGGTGAGAGGATATCATCGTACGATTTCGCATCAAAATTGCCAAGTGCCCCGCTCGACGCGGGCGAAGAAGTACTGAGGTCAGCTAGACGGCGTCCCACAACACGAACTGGAGCTCCACAGAGACTGCCCAGCTCACTGGCGGCACGCGTCGGGTTCAAGTAAGGAAAGTCGTGAATTCGCGTGGACGGCTCGTCCGAGACTGCGCCATGAGCGGCGCCGTTGCACTCATCCTCAAGGTACGAGGAGAAGGTGATCTCGGACTCCCAGCTGCCGTCGGACGCGCAGTCACACGCCTCTCGAGTGCCCTCGAAGCTCATGCATTCTACTTCCGATTCTTGTTGGACCTCTTGCCCTGGCCCTTGTCCTTGCCACGGGCCTGACCCTTCGTGCCGCCCTTGCCCTTCGGGTTCCACGAGCGCCAAGGTGGCGTCCCGCGGTGCTGCCCTTTGTCGCCCTTCGGCTTGCCCTTGTTGCCAGCCTTCGCCTCCGCGGTCACGTCGTCCGCGAACCTCACGCGACGAACAGGGCTCGAGGGTCTCCGAAGGGCCGGATTGCGATCCACTCCAGGGCTGATCGAGCCAGGTGCTGGCCGCCAGTGGGGCGACGGGCTATTTTTTTTGTTCTTTTTTGCTTTTTTATTTTTTTTTATTTATTTTATGTTCTGTGCTTTTTTTTTTTTCGTTTTTTCTTTTTTTTTTTTTATTTGTATTGTTTTTTTTTTTTTTTTCTTTTTTTTTTTTCTTGTTATTCTTATTTTTGTTCTCGGGCTCCCCGATCTCTCGCCAGCACCTGTCCCGGCTGCCGGGCTCGGCGACGCTCTCTTCACTGCCTCGCCAGCGTCCCCTCGACCGCGACCTCGCCCTCGGCCGCGTCCACGCCAGAGCTTCGCCCTCCACCTGTCCTTCCTCGATCCGGGCGTCGGCGCATCCTTCTCCCCCTGTGCTCCAGGACTCGATGTCTGTGGGGGCGGCGTCGCGGGAGAGGGCGTCCTGGTGCGCCCGCCCTCTCCCTCGCCGAATCCCTAGGGGGGCCTCCTCGCGCCCGCTCGAGTGAGGCGCTCCTTCACCTTCGCACCCTCCGAGTAGGATGCCACGGCCGCCGACACCTCGGCGCTGCTGGCCAGCCCGATGTCGGTGGAGTCGATCAGCTCGAGGTGCTCGGCTATCGTCCAGTGCCCGTCCTTGGTGGCCTGCTCGATGGCCTTCAGCCTCTGCATGAGCATGTCGCCCAGCTGCGGCAGATCGCCCCTCGTGAGGGCGTCCAGGCACTCCCCGATCATCCTCATCTCGCGCACATTCCGCACCCCCATCTCGTTCTGAGGGTGCATGCCGTGCCACACGCTCGTGATATACTGCACCACGTTGGACGCCATCCTATCCAGCTCATCATCGTTGTCGGCCCCGCCCCGCTGCGCCAAATACTCTCGGATCTGCTTCAGACCCGCCGCCATGAGCGCCCCGGGGTCGGAGCGGGCCAGCTTCTGCACTCGGCGGCCGGAACCAGCGGTCGGGGCCTCATCAAAACTCGCACTGTCGGAGCTATCCTTGTCCCTGTTCTTCTGCTTCTAGCGGCTGCGGCGGCCCTCCAGCGCAGCCTCGGCGCGCTCGGCCAGCGCCTCGCCCATGGAGCGCTTCCTCTGAAGCTTCTCCTTCAGCCTCTTGACGATCTTCCTCCTCTCCTCGGCCGTCCTGCCATCCACGTCCTCACCGTCGGCACCGCCTGAGCCCTTGGGAGCTCCACCTGCGTTCTTGCCCGGCACCACGGGTCCAGCGTCAGCGGCGGGCGGCGCACCGCCTGCAGGGAGGGCGCCAGGCGGGGTGGCTCCAGCGCCATCAGCGGCACCGCCTCCAGGCCCGGTCGCCCCCAGCACGCGCAACGTGTCCGAGTGCACCACGTTGCGCCCTGGCCAAGCGGTCGTGCGACAGCAAGTCGCCACGCCCTGGGTGCAGAGGTGCACCACGCTGCTTCCCATCGCGAAGATGCCCTGCAGGATCGGCAGGTAGAGAGGGTCGCTGCTGCTCTCCACTGTGCACTCCACGAACTCTCCTGCCGCGTCAGGCGGATACAGCCCTGTCACGGTCATCGTCGTCGTCCCGCTTGGCTGACAGGCAGCATCGTACATCACCAGCTCGACGCGGCAGCCGGCGCTCAGTCCCAGGAGGCCGTGGGTCACGGCCTGGGGCGCCATGGGCACGTATACCCAGGGTCCAGCCTGCTGCGCCGCCGCCGCGACCCCCGCCACCGCTGGCTGGGCGACCGCTGCTCCGAACTGCGGCAGCGCCCCGCCCGCCGCGGGCATGCCTGCCTGCCAGCCCACGGGCACAGGCGCGGCGGCGGCTGGCACCGCGTGGGCGGCCTGCCCTGCCACGGCGTGGCCGCCTCCACCCCCCGCGTGAGCGGGTGGTCCCACGAGGGCTCCCACCCCGGGGATCCCTGGGATCAGACCCGGCACCACGGGGCCGCCCAGGGCTGCTGGCGCTCCTGCTCCAGCGCCAGCGCCTCTGCCGCGACCTGCAGCGGGCGGCGGGGCGGCAGGCGGCTTGCCCATGCCGCCCATTGGGCCACCCATGCCGCCCATGCCGCCCTTGCCGCCCATCCCGGGCTTCGCCGCTGCCTTGCCTCCGCCTCCTGGTGCTGCGGGGCCAGCAGCGGCTCCGCCCGCGGCCGCGGCAGCTCCAGCGGCCACTCCGGCAGGCGGCGGCGGGAGCAGGGCGCCGACGCCAGGCGGCAGTCCCAGAAAGCCGCCCAGCACTCCGCCGCCGCCCACGCCGAGGAGCCCCCCGCCAGGGCCCAACCCAAGCGGGCCAGGCGGGGCGCCCGCGCCAGCCCCCGCGGCTCCGAACATCGCCACCGCCGTGCTGCCGCCGCGGCGGCGCGGGCTGGTGAGCTCCCCCAGCCGCCGAGGGGGGAGCTCACTCGGGCGCGGGCTCCTCGGAGGGGGTCATTCTGGGGACCCCCGCTTGCTTCTCTGACAGGGCTAATAGAAGCACCTCCACCGCGCACACCCTGCCGCAGCTTGAGCCGAGGCGGCTACGGAGAGGCGGTTTAGAGGAGATCGTTTCGAGGACGGAGGGGGGACGAGATAAAACCCATGAGAATCTCAAGGATATATATATATATATATATATAATATATATAATAATAAATATCTCTGGGGAGCAGGCCCGGGGCCCGAAAACAGCTGCCGCGACCCTCCATGGGAGGACCGGGGCTCATTTTCTGTGTTTTTTTGCGAGGTTTCCGCGTCCAGGGCCTCGGAGGCCGCCGCCTCCGACACCCCATGGGAGGACGGGGCGGCCGGGGAGGTCCACAATAGTCCAGGAGGGCCTCCAGAGGTCCCCAAGACGGCCCAAGCGGCCCCCCAAGGTACTCCACGACGCTTCAAGACGCCCCTCCAGAGCGCTGCAAGAGGCCGAAATCGTCAATTCTACAAAAAGGTTTTCGAACGATTTTGGCCTTCCAGCCTTTTCGGCTGCCCGACGTTCCAAGACGGCTCAATAGGCCCCCAAGAGCGCCCCAAGACGGCCCCAGAGAGCCCCAAGACGGCCCCAGAGTCGCCCAAGACAGCCCAACAGAGCCCCCAGACGGCCCAAAGATGCGCCCAAGAGGGAGACCAGGGCTCATTTTCCGTGTGTTCTTATGAGGTTTCCGCGTCCTGGGCCTCGGAGGCCGCCGCCTCCGACACCCCATGGGAGGACGGGGCGGCCGGGGAGGTCCAAAATAGTCAGGAGGGCCTCCAGAGGCTCCCAAGACGGCCCAAGCGGCCCCCCAAGGTACTCCACGACGCTTCAAGACGCCCCTCCAGACCGCTTGAAGAGACCGAAATTGTCAGTTTGTTCGAAGGTTTTCGAACGATTTTGGCCTTCCAGCCTTTTCGGCTGTCCGACGTTCCCAGACGGCTCAATATGCCCCCAATAGCGCCCCAAGACGGCCCCTGAGAGCCCCAAGACGGCCCCAGAGTCGCCCAAGACAGCCCAACAGAGCCCCAAGACGGCCCAAAGATGCGCCCACGAGGGGGACCACGACTCAAAAATTCGACCCTCCCGCTTCAAGAGTGCCCCAGGAGGCCCCAAGGAGCCCCCAAGAGGCCCCAGGAGGCCCCCAAGAGGCCCCCCAAGGTACTCCACGACGCTTCAAGACGCCCCTCCAGAGCGCTTGAAGAGGCCGAAATCGTCAATTCTACGAATGTTTTCGAACGATTTTGGCCTTCCAGCCCTTTCGGCTGTCCGAATTCCAAGACGGCTCAATAGGCCCCCAAGAGCACCCCAAGACGGCCCCTGAGAGCCCCAAGACGGCCCCAGAGTCGCCCAAGACAGCCCAACAGAGCCCCAAGACGGTCCAAAGATGCGCCCAAGAGGGGTGCTAATTTTCCATGTGCTCTTATGGTGTTTGCGCGTCCTGGGCCTCGGAGGCCGCCGCCTCCGACACCCCATGGGAGGACGGGGCGGCCGGGGAGGTCCAAAATAGTCCAGGAGGGCCTCCAGAGGCTCCCAAGACGGCCCAAGCGGCCCCCCGAGGTACTCCACGACGCTTCAAGCGCCCATCAAGAACGATTTTGGCCTTCAGCCTTTTCGGCTGCCCGACGTTCCAAGACGGCTCAATAGGCCCCCAAGAGCGCCCCAAGACGGCCCAAGAGGGCCCCAAGACGGCCCCAGAGTGGCCCAAGACAGCCCGACAGAGCCTTAATTAAGACGGCCCAAATATGCGCCCAAAAGGGGGACCGTGGCTCATTTTCCGTGTGTTTTTGCAGGGTTTGCGCGTCCTGGGCCTCGGAGGCCGCCGCCTCCGACCCCCCATGGGAGGACGGGGCGGCCAGGGAGGTCCAAAATAGTCCAGGAGGGCCTTCAGAGGCTCCCAAGACGGCCCAAGCGGGCCCCGAGTCGCCGAGAGACAGCTCCAGGACGCCCGAGATAAGCCCAAGACGGCCCGAGAGGCCCCCGTCAGGCACTGCACGACGCTTCAAGACGCCTCTCCAGAGCGTTTCAAGAGGCTGAAATCGTCAATTTTACGAGTATTTTCGAACGATTTTGGCCTTCCAGCCTTTTCGGCTGTCCGACGTTCCAAGACGGCTCAATAGGCCCCCAAGAGCGCCCCAAGACGGCCCAAGAGGGCCCCAAGACGGCCCCATAGTCGCCCAAGACAGCCCAACAGAGCCCCAAGACGGCCCCAAGATGCGCCTAAGAGGGGGATCAAAAATTCGACCCTCCCGCTTGAAGAGTGCCCCAGGAGGCCCCAAGGAGCCCCCAAGAAACCCCAGGAGGCCCCCAAGAGGCACCCAGGAGGCCCAAACGAA